ATGAAGCAAAAACTGTGTGCCAGCGCCGTTCCTCTTAGCCAACCCAAACACCACCACTTACTCGTTAAGTAATAATTCATTAAACAAATCGCATATGAAAATCTTATTTTACCCCCAACCATTTCTGTCATTTAGCCCATCCCAGAGACCCTTTTTCGTCACATCACCTCCCAAAACCATTAGCTTTACCCCTGGTTTCTTTTCCCAAACTTCGAGCCACTACCGCGGTTTCTTCATCCTCTCCTTTATATAAGAAACGCTCTCCATTTCATTTACCCATCAACAAAAGCACGATAACTCACCATAATATTTTAATTTCTACCAGCAAAGGTTGTTCGTTTAAAGAAGAAAAGTATTGCAATGAGTTCAACAAGCAGAACTTGGGTTGTGGCGGCGACTATGGGAGCTGTGGAGGCACTGAAGGACCAGGGAATCTGCAGATGGAATTATCCATTAAGGTCACTTCACCAGCATGCCAAGAACCATTTGAGGTCAGCTTCACAGACCAGGATGCTGTCTTCTCAGTCTTCTGCGGCTGTTCGGAATCAGTTGAGAGAAGAGAAAGCAAAGCAATCTGAAGAGTCTCTGAGGACAGTCATGTACTTGAGCTGTTGGGGTCCCAATAATTGAGGGAAATTGGAGAAAACTCTACCTTAGTGGGTTTGTAATTTGTATATAGATGAGAAAAGAGGGTATGAATTGTTATGTATAAGAGCAGTTGCTCTCAACACATGGGTAATGAAAAAAAAAAAAGAAGAATTTTGGCAAGCAAATTGCTCGTTTCCGTCGTTCTTACTTTGGTAGATTATCAGCTGTTTGGTGGGATACAATTGTCATATAATTGTAGTCCCTTTCATTATTATTATTATTGAATTTGGGTGGTTTAATTTGATTCTTTGACAACAGAAGGAAAAGAAAAAATCAGATTAATTGGTGTTGCAAATTCAAGTACAGCACGAGGAAATTAGAACGTGGCATGAAGGGCTTATGGTCCCCCAGCGGGGGTAGCATTCAAGGTTCGATACTCCTGGGTGTCATTTCCTCTCCCAAATCTCAAAACTACGAATTTTCCAGAAAAAAAATGAAGAATGTTTGCACTTTCAAAAGAAGATAAGTTTCGAATCTCTTTGACTTAAAAGTAAACACCCTAGGGGTAGACACTATGACCTGATTCTTCAAAGTTAAAAGAAAACTTCTCTTTGATTAAAAAGGAAAAACACTTGAAGGAAATTTTGGTTGTCATTAAAATTGTTGTGAAGTCATATGTCAATGAGGTATTTAGTATTTTATTATAAAAATATAATTATTTAAAAATTTTATATATTAATATGTTTATTAAATTATATAAAATATTAAACGAAATTAATTAATAACACTATGATCTGAAATGGAAGTAATTCAATTTTTTTAAGTAATTTTTGAATTTAAAACTTATAAATGGAGGATTAAAGTATTTGACACAACTCAAAATTAAATTAATTAAGTTCAATGTAATTTTTAAACACTAAAAAGTTAATACCACAAAAAATATTAAATAAAATTAAGGTATTGTATAAGCAACTCTTGAGTTAACCTTAAGTTTAAGTGATCTTAAAAGATATCTTCTCTATTTTTTAAAATAATTGTTATTCTTAAAAAAATTAAGAATTTAAGACTAATTTATGTATTTACTTATATTCTTTTAAAAAATTTAAAAAATTATTTTTTTTGTGATAAAATAATTAATCAAAATAAATAAATAATTATATGATTAAATTAAAAAAAATATTTATCTATTTTAAAAAATAAAAAATAATAATTAATTTAAAATAAATTTAAAATAAAAAATAATTATTATTTTGAAATAGAGGAGTAATATTTATTTATAAATAAATGAAAACGTTTTAATCTAATATTATTTTTTTATAATTATTCTAATTTATCATCTATTACCTAACCGCTCGAAAAAGAAGAAGAAGAAGAAGAATTTATTCCGGTCTATTTGTAGTTTTTTTTTTTAACAAGTTATTAAGGTACGATCTCGAAATTCGCTCATAAAAAAAATGTACTTCAAATTGACAAGTTACGAATTGACCCGTAAAGGTCAGGTGCGGTGTACTTGTAGTTCTGGTAATTTTTTTTGGGTAAATTATCATTAACATATCGTACTAGTAATATATTTATGCAACTCTTGGAAAGTGATAAACACCTAGTATTATAAATTATAATAGTACTTTAGAAGATTCGATCTTCCCAATTGTTTAGGTACACCTTGTACTTTTGTTTGTGAGCTCAAAGCAAAGAAATGCTAATTTATGGTTAATGGGACAAAAGAATTGAATCCAGAGGCAATTAATCTAAATCCAATTACTTCCCCCAATTAAAAATTATTAAAGGAAGATCAATCTTCTTCATCAGTCCAAATCTCCATCTGCTTACACTTGCTTGATAGGGACACTAATCTCTTAACCCATAAGCAAAGTAATATTTTTTTTTAATATTAAATCCATTCGAATTTGAAAGTCATATTTAACATTGATTAATTTAAAGTTGAATTGCATTAAATTTTAAAAGAAGAATTTTTTTCTTAACATTTATTTTTTTTTATAAGATTCAAAATTAAAATTTTATTTTAAAAAATTAAATTTTCTTTATTTAAATCAACAAGTAATTGCTGTAAACAAAACAAGATACAATCCTAACAACAACCCAATGATATAATGCCATGGCAGTTGGATAAACATTCACCATAACCCTTGTTTTCTAAGGAAAGAGTAAATGGTTTCACTACAAACAAAATGTCCTATACCAACGTAAATTTATACTAATGGATATGAATCTGTCTATATAACCCATTTATACCAACAAAAAAATTTAAGTAGTTAGTATATATCGATCTATACCAACAAAAAACTATATCCGTCAGAAACATGGGTTTATACAAACAGATTACTAATTATCCGTCTGTATACATTTTCTCTTCCCTTCGTATATTCCCAATTTTCCTTCCTCAAATTTCGAGTTTCCCTCCCCTGGTAGACCTAGGTATTTCTGTCCCTCTCCCAAATCTCCAAAATTGGAGTTGATTTTGCTAAAACTCAAAAACCCATTCGAACCTAATTGCCAAATTCATTTCCTCAACTTTAATCCATCAATGATAGGAGGTAAATAGGTGAGTTTGTGTTGATTTTAGGTGATTTCTTCCTAATCCTCTTTGTTTCTCCTCTCTACTCTGCAACTTTCTTTTGTGCCGTTAGTGCGTCAAGGTTCTGCATAATCAAGGGATTTGGTGTTGGAGAATAAGGGGTACAGGGGAGAGAGGTTATTGCTCTAGATCTACTTGAAACTCGTTTCTCCCTTTTTCTACCGCTATTTCCGTCTCTCATCTCTTGATTTCATTGTTTCCTGAGGTACTCTCTTTTCTCCCGTCTCCTTCACTCTTCCTTTCTCCCATTTGCTTGCTGTTCTCTTCTCTCTCTCTTTTTTTTTTTCTTTGAAGTTTGTTTTGTTTGATGATGGGATCCATCTCGTTAGTTCTTGTTGCTAGGTTGATTTCATTGTTTGCTAACATGGGTCTTTGTGATTTTGCAGGTTCTAAGGCCCCATCTGGTGAAGCTTCATGGCTTCTAAGTGGATTGTGAAGGAACTCAAGGATTTGCAAAAGGTTCTCCTCATTTTCTTTCTAATTGAAGGTTTAATTTCTGTTGTCAATAGTTTCCTTGTTCATTGTTTACCCTTTTTGTAGCCACTTCTACTAGTAAGTTGTCTCATTTGTCATTTACAAGGAGCATCTGAGTAATCAAACTTCTATTTGAATTGATTAGCCTCCTAATTGGTTCATTGTCATTTCCAGTGTTAGGATAATTACTTTTCTATACTCCACAACTCTTTCTTGTTTCTTGCAACCACCTATTTTTAGTAACTGATTCTTTTCAATTATGTTCTTGTATTAGTATCCATATCTGCATTACACTTCAACATGTACCTATTGTAGAAACCTTCCTCCAAGATTTGAGGGAATCCGTGAAAACTGTAGGTTGTTTTTAATTGAAAGAAGAGCATTTTTTTTTCTATTCATTCAGAGCCTAATTATATGTTCTTCAAAGTTGGACCATTGAGTTTATATACAGTTCATAGTGCATCATTAAGGATATAAGCATGTGCCAGCCATGAGAAGAAATGGTAGTCAATCTGTTGTCAACGGTAGTTAAATTAGTTCTGTGCAGAATTTTATTGTTATCTGGTTTTACATAGGTAAAGGAAAACCCAGGGCCAATAAGTGGAGGCCTGGCTCCCATATACGATGCCGCAGGGAAGATACCAGACAGAGGCATAGTTTGAGATTTGTTGGTCAATTATATGGACACCACATGTTAGTGTCATTTCCAAACATAGGTTCTGATTGCTTCACTTCACCTACAATTTATTTTCAATTGTTTTCTTCTTCTTCTTTTTTTTTTTTTGATTTTTTGTATTGAATCTGAATTGACATTGTGTGGCTAGGTGGAGCAAATCAAAGTTATCTTTGTTGGGCTATCCCTTTCTCAATGTTTGTGGAGAAATGAGACTAAATGTATTATCTGTTTGATCTATGTTCAAAACTATTATTGATTATTATCCTAATTAATTTTGTCTACTTCTTATGTAGTGTGCTTCCAGTTACTTTTGTTTCTTTGACCTTTGTTAATCTTTTCTTTTGCACCTAGATTTATCAGAACTCCTAAACTTAGGGAGGTTGTTGGGTATGGTCAGACATGAATGTTAGTGAATGTTAATTTTGCATGTAATGTCATTTTTTATAATAAATTTCTGTAAAATCTTACCCCAACATGTTTCATGTTTTGTAATCTTACTTTAGAAACTGTGAAAGTTATATCCCCATCACCCAAAGAAATCATTTTTCTTTCACTTTTCTTTACAAAATTTAAAATTCTTTTATTGCTAGTGAATGAATAGTCTCTTTTATTGTAAAGATATTGGGGGACTATTACAAAAAGTTTAACATGGGCTGGCAAATTAATGGACTGGGAAATCTTTCTTTTTTGGGTGTTAATATTTCTTGTACTCGACTCTCTATAATTGAATACTTGAAGGGTTAATAGAAAATTAAAAGGCATTACCAATATAGAGAATGCTTTGTGTCCGAGGCTATTCCATGTGATAAATATGGAATTTCCTTCCCTAGTCTTTTTAAAATTATTTTCAAATTTAGAATTTAGTTTCTGCAATTAAAAATGTTTTTGGATGACTTTAGTTTTTCTACCATTGAAGAAGAAGTTGCTCAACAATGAGATAACTTTAGTTTTTTTTGGATGACTTTGGTTAATATGGATTAGTTTCAAATTTAGAATTTAGTTTCTCTTTGTGATGGGTTTGCTTTGAATCACAATGAATACAGTCATGTACAGCAATTTCATAACTGTATATGTACATTTTTTGGAATGCATAGATTTATATTTCTGTATTAGGTCATTGATTTGTGAAGTTGGATTTTTTTTTTTTTTTTTTTTAATTTTTTAATTTTTTAATTTGAGTATTTTAATTAGAGTCTCTGACAACAGAAGAAAGAGCAAAAAATCAAATTAATTAGAGCCTTGCTAAGTTGGGTTGGATTGGCTACTTAATTGGTATCTCAAATTCAAGTACAACACAAGAAATGAAAAAAATTAGAACTAGCCATGCAGGGTTCGATACTCTCTGGTGTCATTCCCTCTCCCAAAACTCAAAATTAAGCACGTTCCACAGAATAATAAGAATGTTTGATCTTATTCTTCATAAGTTAAGAGAAAGCCTCTCTTTAATTTTTTTTTAATTGAAGGATAATTCAGCTTAGGTTGTTAATCTCAAAATAATAATACTTATTTATTAATAGATTATTGAACTAATTTAGTCTATTATTTATTTTTTATTAATATTTTATTTTATATTTTGATATTTATCATCAGAATATTTTTTAATCAAT